TCAATAGTAATTTTAGGGCCCTGCTACACATTCTAATTAAAGCTGGATAGAAGCCAGCTACAGAGTTGTTACACATTCTCGAGCACTAACTTTATAGCTGGGTTGGTTTTTTTTATGGCTGGAGAGTCATTTTTATTATGTGATAATTACTTTGCACGCGTGGCCAGTCTAAACTTACTGTGCAATTAACCAGGTAATTGCATAATATATGTAACAAATGAGCAGAGGTCTTAGAGCGACATTGTAGCCTTGATGGTCCAGAAATTAGACAAAGCAGTTTTCTTGGAGTGATATCTTTTATTGAACTAACTGCATAATTGGGATAAGAGTTCAAAACATTTTCATATGTAAGACCTTCTTCTACAAGTCACTATTTCATTGTTTCATTATTTCAATGACACCTCTTCATCCCTGAATTGCTACTCTTTTTCACTTAAAAATAAAGTTCAACATATTTATCAAACTGCTGCAAGTAAAGACTAGTAAAAAATTTGAAGACAGTGCTGCTAGTAAAACTTTAGCTGAGATAAGGTCCAGCTAGATCTTTACTACAGATTATCTGAGAAAGAACATTCTTTCTCTTCAATATTTGTAACTGAAATGTGGGGCCCACTTAATGATTTTTTTTTATAGTGACTTGCACACACTGTACGTTAAATTTATTTTTGTTTGTTCTACGGGTGAAGCCAATATGTTTACCTTTAAGAGAACTAGATGTGGAGATCTACCACAGCAAATGAGTGGTAGATTTCAGAAAGAATCAAGTTAACTGGGCTCATTAGGTTTAGTCATTACTAGGATATTACTAAAAACTTTAGGTCACAGGCAAAGAGGGCGAGAGGACTGCTGAACTGTGCTGTTCAGGCATATGCTTAAAAGGGGGACCTAGGCAGTACTGAACTTTTTTGTTGAAATGGTCAGTATTACCTTTTTTCACAGTTGCTTGATGTAGTAACTTATCTTGCGAGTGCCCATTTCTAAGTGCCCGGCTTTTCTATGAAGCAGCAATACAGTGGTTCTATGAAGTTTTGATAGTATTAAAACATACTGCAATACATCTATGAATACAATAAGCTACCCATTCAGGACAAAAACTAAATAATGTTTTCCTAAAGCCATGATATACTGGGGATTTTATATATAATGGCCAACCTGCACTTATATTCTTTATTCAGTTGAAGTTCAAGAAAATGGTCTCATGGGATTGAGAATAGAATGGCAGGGAACAGCATGCAGAATAACACGCCACGGACAGCTTCCACTACAAAAAGATTTAAATCATCTTCCCAGCAATTCACTGTTAGTAGGTACAGCATTAACAAGAGGGTTATTTCTCAAAGAGCCAAGTCTGAAATTATTTGTAACTTTATAGCTCACAACACTTAAAAATACCCAACTGGGAACAAACTGTTATTAGAAGCCAGCACAGACTGCCACAAGATCACCATGCTTCTTACCTGAAGAACTTCTACATGAGAACAGCAACATTCTTCCTTTTATATTTCTTTTAATTTATTATATTATAAAATCCTCTCATCTCAAGGGAAACCCAGATAATTATAGTGAGGAAAACACCCAAAAGAAAGTACAAGATGCATAGAAGATTTCTGTATAAGTAACAACTTTATTGTAACTTGATGTGCTGAAATGCAAAAATATTTTCAGCAACAAGGTACAAAAAGTATTTCACCATTAACATCAGCTGATAAAAAAAGGCTGGATGGTTTGATACAAGTGTTTACATATCTGAATTCTCTTAGTCATTTCCACCCCAAAACAGATATAAGTCATTTTCAATGGTTTAGTTTCTAAAATAGGACTCATTTATGTTAAACCTTCATTTTGAAGATTCAAAATCATGAACACAGACTATGATAAAGTTTACTACTGCAAACACTTAAAATGAATTCCCTTTCCAAACGTAGTCCATTTACTGCAAGCTAAAGCCGAGTAGTGAGACTAATAATGCCACTATAATCTTGCAAAGTTAGTGAGCTGACCTACAGACTAAATGCTTATGGTGATATTACTGCCATAAGACAGGGAAAATTAGTCAATTTTACTAACCATTAAAGATGAGAATTTAATTTGGGTCAAACACAATGTTTAGCACTAGTTCATGATGGTTTTACAATGTGGTGTTTTCTATAAACACTGTTTCAAATACTGTACTTTGTGTTAATCTTCAAGGGTGAAGTCATCATGAAGGCTTAGGACCACTGTAAACATGGACAGCCTGTCTGCTGATCCTGTAATACACGGGCAAGTTTCATACCAAATCTCACATCAATACAATAAATCAAATACTGGCAGTGTAAAAACTAGAGCATCCCATACAATTTAAATTCTCCACAGCTAGCTACCTTTCGCTGATTGGGTTTTATCATCATCTTGTACCAATAAAACATGTGTGTGTGTGTGTGTGTGTATGTGTATATATTACAAAGGATACCACTTATCCAACGTGTTTTTAAAATTTGCTATTTCTTTTTGTATCTACCCAGTGATGCTGAATTTGGGATGCAATGACAATCAAGCAAGGTATGTTGGAGCTCAAATCAGTATGCCATAACTTGTTTCTACCTCACTTCTAGTAATCTGTTGACCAACAGCATTCTCCCCAATCTGTAAATACACTGTTTTAAAATTATTTTATTCTGTTAAACGTATTTTAGAAAAGGCACTATACATGGGTTGATACTTCTGCATGCAGTAAATGGACTATAGACTAAGGATTGTTTCCATTCAAAACCTTAGCAAAAAAAGAGGTTCAAATGGAAAAGTGATGTAAGTAGATACTAAGATTTTAAACAGTGAACTGAGTCCTTATTTTTAGAAAGTCACTCTTCCAGAAAGAGACACAATCATACACACACGCACATACAGAACACATGCAGAGTTCTCCCCAGAAAAATTTGGAGTTGGTGGTTCAAGTGTATGAGGGAGTAGTGTGGGCAAGCCAAAACATGGCACCTTCATAATTTGTGCTCCAAATCCTTTAGAGAGATTAAGAAACGGCAGGATTTCTAGATCTCAGCCTGAAAAGCTGTCATATTGTATTAGATAATTTTATATATGCTGAACTTAAAAACTGACTGCATATTTGAAAAACAAACTCTTGAAGTGGAGGGAATAAAAACAAGCAAGAGGAAAAACTTGTTTCTACCAGCATTTGGGTCCAGTGAGAACACTGCATGTAGTCTAATCAAGAATAAAGAGAGGTGAATAATTAGTGCACTCACTTAAGAATACAGCAACTGTTTTACCTTTTTCTTAAAAACTGACAAAACTTAGTATACATAATAAATAAAACCAAATCTAAGCAGATCAAATGTCAAGATTTTTGTTAGTGTAACGTATGGTACGTACTTGAAAAGTGGACATTTCTATAAATGTTGATATTCTTACAGCACAGTGTTTGACATTTTTTGGTACAAAGTGTGCTATTAAGCTTCTAAAAAAATCTTCATAACAAAATTCTTACGCTCTCCATTAGATTACTGCATGTTATAATTATTTTAGAACAAGCCGAACTGGACAGTAATAATTACAGTATTAAATATTCAAGTCACTTTGTATATTAGAGCTGCAAGTTTCATCGGTGAGCCTGTTCATGACGAATATGAGGATATACAGTTCTAATATTATGCACTGCAGCAAAACAGTCACTATTTTGGAGGGAACAAGTATGTGTCATCCCTATTATGAAAAATGTTTACGGGACCTTAATTTAGAATAAATAGCGAATAGAACTTTTTATTAAAGTCAAATCTCCATAACTATATTGTTTGATAAGGTACCCTCTGTACTTGTATAGATTGAATTAAAACTTTAGACTAAGTTGCATATAAAATCAAAGCAAAGTGTGCATGTACAGAGGTTTGTATTTTTATAAACTGACTGGTTGTTTCTTTTCATTTTTGTAATTTTAATTATTTATTTTTTTGCTAACAGTTTACTTGATACCAAGTATATACTCTGCCCTCCCAAAGTTTTACTAGAAGTAATTTGAGAAATCTGAATGAAATGAGGAAAGAGACTCTTACCTTTCATTTTTCTAGACAAACTAAAATCTTTAACCAAATTTGTTTATAAATTAGGCAATATCTCCTTCATTTACCTGTTAAATGCAAGTCTTGCCAAACAACAATATAGCATATTATCACCATTATAATAAATGCAATGTAATAACTCAGGAAACATTTAGAGTGTGCAGTATGGCAGACTTTTCTCCCAATTGTAAACAAAGCTATCAAACACTGAAAATGTTGATATTAAAGCTAAAGGTTCATATGATAAAGAACTGGCCCATGACAACAGTTTACACATATTTCATCCTTTTCACATTATGCAGAATTTCAATACCATCCACAATGCTAGTACAGTAACTGAAATGCTAGGAAAAAACCCAAGTCTATGCTTGCAAATACATCTGACAAATCAGGGAAAAATGCTTCTTCTGTTATGTGTATGTAACTTCCTTTGGTGTGAAAGGAAGTTGTGCATACACATTTAGGTGAGAACAGACCCTCTTCCATGGTTTCATCATTCACACATTCCTCCCTCAAAAATGTAAAGCTACTCAGCAACTCAAAACATGAAAGCTTGTAATATTCAACCTTCAATTAAGTCTTCAGACATGGTTTTCTTGTTCGGTATAACAAAACTAAATCCCATGTGGCTGTGGGCATCTTCAAAACGCATGTAAAAAGTTAAGCCACAGTTACCTGTACCTCATTAATTCATCAAAAGCAAAATATATATGTACCACACAACATTACAAAAGTTACACATTAAAAGTGCATATTTAGAATCCATTTGGCCCATTTCTTAAATTTACATTTGGTCATTCTATGTATCTTTTACTTTTCTATGTAACCATACATGTAGGATATAATTTTTTGTTTTTCAAATGCAATACTATTCTCTCTTCCCATCAAAATCTTTACTTCTCGTTTCATTTTCCATTAAATGTAAACCAGTGATGGACCATAAAGAAACACAAGCAAAAAGTTTATTGTGTGTTTCTCTGTCACGTTTGTACAGCTTTGACACTGAGACAGTAAGCATTATAAACTGTAATGAAAATACATTTTTTGGGCCAAACCATTGCATATTTGCCCCCACAATGAAAAATAAATTATGTTCAAAGCAGTATATTGCCATAAATAGCCTGTAGGCATCCTCTGAAGGTAAACGGACTCTCTTTATCTATACTTGACTGGAGTATATTATGTAAGTCCAGTTCAAGTGGTTTTAATGAGAGGTTAGTTGAAAACCTTCCAGTCAGCACAGGACCAAACTATAATCTTCATTTTTTTTTAAAATAATGGAAGATCCCTTTCAAAAATTAATCTTCAGTTATCAAGTTTACTGCATTATGGAGCTAGTGCAATCCTGCATAGCCTAGTCAAAAAGACAAGGCACATTAAAAAAAAAAAAAAAAAAAGAAAAAAATAAGAAAAACAACTAGATACATTAGACTATATGGACTAGAGAGTCACTGACTATACTTTAAGGCCTTTCAGTGAATTAGAGAGTAATCAGTCTAATTTAAAGCTGAGGATTAAACCATAAATTATCCATCTGAAAAGCAAACAATAGGCTTTTTCAGCTTCTGTTCTGTGGACAAGGATAACACAAATTCTTGTTATGGTTTGTGAAAACACCTCTGGACCTGGAGGAGTAGAGTCAATTCAAATTTCTCTAAAGTTCGTGGAAGATTTCATGACTGTTTTAGCCGTTTGCGTGGAATACCAAACTGTGGACACTGTGCAGATGCTAGTGCTCGAAAGGCCTCTGCTACTAAGTGAGGGTGGGAGTGGATCATGGACTTCCAGCCTGCCGTTTCCATTATGTCTGTTGCTTGGCTGAAAATAAAAGGATTAAGAATAATTATGTTTAAATGTATATGTATGTATAAAAGATAAATCAGAAAAATACTAGGAACATGGACTACTTAACCAAATGTTATTTGTATTTTATGTGGAATCAATATATTATTTATTTTATAAAAATATTCATTTTTCCAATATTAACAGGAAATGATTACTTTTACCATTATTCCACAACTGGAACTTGCTCCCAAGTGAAGTTATATGTACAGCACACTCAACTAAAGCAGCATATACTGTTTAGCAATTCAAACAAACTTTATACGCTACTGGTCATTCCTCGCTCTTGAGTTCTATGACACTGGCTGTGTGAGCTCTACCCTAGGGACCACATGGAAATATAAAACAGGGAGGGCATTTTTAAGTAGGATCTTGCTGAGTTATGTCCTAAATCCAGTTCTTCTCAACATTTTCATTAAAGACTCACATGGCAGAATAAAGAATATTCTTATAAACTGGGTGGGGGACTCTAAGCTGGGGAAGCTTAGAAGACCTTTGGAGGATGGGACTAGAGTTAAAAAGGATACAGGAACACTGGGGAAACTTTTTGTCAAGATTAAATTTAAAGAAAGACGAGTACAATGTGATACACCCAGAAAGGAGAAAGTAAATGCAGAGATACAAACTGGAAATGACGCTAGTGATGCAGAAGGAGGTTAGGGGGTTATCCTGGACCACAAACTAAATACAAGTCAGCAGTGCCATGCTGTTGCAAAAATGGCAAGTTTCATACTGGAATGTATTAACAGAGCTATCATATGTAAGAAATGGAAGATAAGTATACCACTTTACTCAGTACTGATGAGGCCTCAACTGGAATACTGTATCTAGTTTTAACCACTACACTGTTCAAAGGATATTAATAAATTGGAGAGACCAACAAAAGCAACAAGGGTAAGAATTTTAGAAAATGTGACTGATGAGGAAAAAAGTTAAAAGAATTAGGCGTGTTTAATCTAAAGATAGAATACCAAGGAAGAATATTCCAACAGTGTTTTAATACAGAAAAGGTTATATGAAAACAGTGATCAAGTTCTTCCCCCAGTAGCATTGAGAATGACAGAAAGACATCTTAGTTTACCAAAAAAAATTAGGTTTGATATCAGAAAAGCAATTTAACTATAGGGATAATACAAAGCATGGAATAGGAACAAGTGTGGGAACAGGTTAATCAACAGTTTTCAACAATGCCATATCATCCTTTTCTCTGTTCTAATTTGCTCCTGCTGCCCCTCTTGTCCTAGACAGTTCTGTTGCATCCTCCAAGACAAGAGAGCTGGACTTATTCTGTCCTCCATGGTAAGAAAACAACAGTAGCCAACATTTAACTTTCCTTCTACTTGGCCTCAATTTGGTGCTCTGGGGAGGGCTTGTACCAATGTTTCTAAAGTGATACTTTTCTCCCCAGAGAAATTAGATCAGCCAGATTTCTCTGTTATCTCAAATGAGGGAAAAAAAGTCAAAGTATAAATGGAGCTGTGGGGTATTATCTCCCAGATTACAAGGCTGCTTCTGAAGCAGTCTTACTTTACTTGCAAAAAAGCAATTGATTGCAATTCTGCAAGAACGAAGAATGGATCAAGAATTCCAAAGGTCTCCCTTCACTTCTGAAATAAACTATGGCAGGGGTGTTTTTTTTTTCGGGGGGGGGAAGGGAAGGGAATCTTTTATTCTGCAAATCTTTACTTACTTGCTGTTCCAGTTTTTCCCATCTTTACACCCAAGTTGTCTAAGAACACTGCACCTACAATAGAAGTAGTAATACAAATATATTTAAGCAGGCATGGAAGTTGTCGCATAGATGCTAACTATATCTCAAATGAAATATTACTTGCCTGTTAATAAAATCTATTGCTTGTGCTTTCAACTGTTCTGCGCTGTGCAAATCTGCGAGGATAAGAATGTCAGCAACGTTTTCTACTGAGAGGTTACTACAGAGTGCCTCTTCACACATGACCTTCAGCCGTTCCAGTGCATACTGGTGGGAAAAAAGCCACACATACAAGCTCACTAATCATTCTTCAAACTTATTCTTTGTACTGTCATCTACACAATTTAAAACAAATTACTCGTATCCTTTGAAATGCCTAGCACCTCAACCCCAGGATCACTGCTTGCAAATAGATCATTCAAAATGTAATGTATGCTGCATATAAAACCTTCTCCTTCCCTCCATGCCTCCAATGATAGGATGCATTAGACGGATTAAATACAAATCAAATCACAATTGCTTGTGTGTTCAACAGTTGCACCTTGGAAGAGAATTTTTTTTAACAAAACTGCAAAATAACTCATTCTGGGTATCATGTTCCCTAGCCAAATGTAATTATAAAAAAAAATCTGAAAAGGTGGCATATATATTAGCATCACAGGAATTAAAACCCTACATCAGACCATAGGCTGTTAGTCAAGCAACAGGTCTGACTGTGGCCTGATGTTTCAAAAAAAGGTGTAAGAAACTGAACAAGGAGCAATTGCATGGAGCCAGAACTGGGGCTACAGTTCTTCCCAACTTTAGTGTTTCGCTCACTCCCCATCTAATGTAACTGCAGATGTCTGCAGTATACCTACTGGTCTTTTTACAATTCTAACCTCTGCCTCAATGATATATTGTGGTGATGGACCTCTGAGGTTAGTTGTAAACCATGAAAACTGTTTTTGTGGATTACATTTGTTATTGTTCAATATGAGAAACACCCAATTTACTTTAATAAAAACTTTAAATTAGTCCTTAGCCTGCTGTCTAAGCATCCAATTGTTATCCATGAGAGGCAGGGCATTACAAGTTGATCCTAATAGAAAGTGCGCCAAGCTTGAATCAGTAACATATAATGCTTTCTATGTCTCTAATCAGTTTTGATTTGATGTCTTTTGAACACTTATCTCTTCTACACTTCTGATAAAAGATGAACTGCAACCTACTGCTATTTAAAAGATTATATTTTCAGGACTCTCCTTGCTTCCTGTATTCTCCAAAATAGCGTTTTGGGTACTTTTTGATTACTGATGCACCCTGACCAGGTTTTTCTTCTTCTAACACTACCAAGACTTTTTTCCTGTCTAGTCACTTAATTTAGAATGCTTCAATTATACAATTTCAAAGTCTCTAAGACAAGTTAAGAAACAGTCAATGCACAGCTACTGAAGCCGTATTACTATTTCTATTCCACTGAAGTAGATAGTGAAGTGCAGTAGTTGGTGCTGTATCATTAGAGAATGTGCAAAGAACTGATCATGGGAACAACACACCTTACTTTAAGGCCGTTGCTTTCAGGTAAGCCAAGATGGATATGAACAATGAGCAAATCAATACAGATTCTGCAACGGATAATTCTGCTTCTCAAAACTACCAGAGTTCTTTAAACAAAGTCAACCAGACAAGCAGTAGAAAATATGATAGCAAGGCTACATAATTGGGCAACCTGATAGAAATAAATTAAGCATAGAAAAATTTAAGAGAATGCACATTAAAAAGAACATAGTGAACAATGCACAAAAGGCTGGGTTCTAAACTAGCTCCCCAAGAGAAAATGACTGAGGCTTCAGTGGCACAGGTAACAAAAGTACTCCTTTTATTGCTAATAAACATTGAGTCAAACAAGATGCTAGATGTATAACTAAAATACTATAGAATAGCATGTTATGATATGAAAGAGTATGATCTCACTGTGATTACTGTTAAGAACCTTCATCTCAAAAAGAGCAAAGAAAGAGAAAAAAAAATAATGGCTCAAAAGGAACAACAAAAATCTTTAAATGATAGGCAAGACTTCATGCAAGGAAAGATTAGAACTGCTTAATTAAAGAGAAAAAAATGACAACAAAATTCTGAAGTGGTAATACTTTAGAGAAGGCAGTTATTGAACTCTTATTTATTATCTCTCTCAACACAAAAGATCAAGGACATTTTATTCAGAACTAATTTACTAAAAGATATAGATAGTAGGGCTGTGTGAAGCTTCAGTCACTGATTCGATTCAGAGGAGATTCAGCCTGATTTGGCAGCCGAATCTCCAAATCTGAATCGGGAGACCCATTAATCTCTCCAAATCGAATTAAAGAGATTTGACGATCTGGCCATGGACCCAGCTTTATATGTTTTTTCTACGTACCTCGAGGTACCAGGTGTGGCTTGTGAACGCTGAGATGGTGGGGCGGATGGAGCATCCCATGGAAGTGTGGGGGGCAGGGCCGGCGGGGTGGGGGGGGGGGGGGGGTTGTTTTCTGCCATGTGTGCGGGGGACTCCCTTGTGCCCCCTCCCCCCCTCTGCGGAGGACCTGGAAGTGGACCGGAAGCACTTCTGGACCCACTGCTGAGCATGCAGGGGACCCCTCCCACGCTCCCGTGAGGCGCTCCATCTGCCCCACCATCTCAGCATTCACGAGCTGCGCCTGATACCTTGAGGTATGTAGAAAAAACACATCAAGCTGTGTCTATGGCTGAATCACTGATTCTCTGAATCAGAAAGGAATCTTCAGATTCAGCCAAATGGAAATCGGGATAGTGATCTGAATCCGCGAATGAATCACTGTCCCCCGAATCCGACTCCAAATTGAATACTGCCCATTTTGCACACCCCTAATAGATATTTGCTTTTTCTTGCCAAGAATTTCTGAAGTAACTATTCTTAGGTTTTAAATAAGGATTTATGAACTTTCCAGGGCTCAAAATCTTTATATCCCAATTCCTTCTCTTGTTTCCATTGTTGCCTCTGCTGCTTATTTTTTCTTAAAAGTCTACTGCAGTTGTATTTAAACAAACTAAAACATGCCTTTTTTAACAGAACGTTCAGTAAACAAGTACCAATTCTGAGGTTTTAAAGGTTTAAGATTTACTTACTTTGTCTGCAGCTGCCAACAAGTTGTCAGCCATTTTTTCCAGGTTTGGTGCTTTCCCTGTGTAAATGAATCTCATCATTTCTTTAAAAACCTCAGGGTCTACATCATTTATTTCTACACGATTCTGTCACAAAGGAAAACAAAAGGAAAGCTATAATCCAGTTTTAGTTTTAGAACAATGAATTTATGACTATCACTTAGCTTGCATTTCTATTTTTTTTTTAAACTTAGCAGCAAACATATAGCACCTTAACGTGGTTTAAGCTGACATACTCTACTGTCAACAGATTAGAGTCAAAACTCCTTTACTGCCAGCAAATTTATGAGTCAGTTAGACAATCACCAGTGGAAAGATCGAGGGAACAAATGAGCATCTTGTAAGCTTTTCTTGGTGATTCAGTATGAGAGGAATCTGTAGTGCAAGGGTCATATAAAGAATTCAAAACCTGATTTATGGATTTTGAAAAATAAGTCCAGACCAGATTACAAATCCATTAGTGTTTTGATATGTTACATGCCAAGAGTATTGGACAGAGTAAAAAGTCAGCAAGCAGGAGAATGAGGTTTATTCTGTTCAAATTAATTAGGATTAATATGTTCTCAAAGCAGTTCTTAAAGGAGGCCTGCAAAAAGTGATTTGTACCTCACCTGAATCCCACAACTGAGGGCCTTCCATTGTCAAAGACCTGGCCCTGCAAGTTTGGAGTCAAGGACCAGGATCCTGAAATGGATACAGAAGTAATAGGCCATCAGTGTTACACAGCATCCTGATGAAAGCTTTACACATTTTGGTCTGCCTACCTACAGGTGGGCCACTATCCACTGAGCCATTTTTTAGGACTAGGGCTCCCTTAGTAGATGGCCCTCACCTGTGGGATTCACTCAACCAAGGCAGCAGTAACGTACCCTGTAGGACTTCAAGGAAGTCTTAAGTGAATGTGAAAAGCTACCATTCAAAAAATCTTCCTGGAAGCTGACCAAGAACAAAGCCTGAAACCATATTAACAAAATACTACCTGGTCTTGTTGCATTATACAAACTATTAGCAGCAGTGTTAGAGGATAGTTAACGCAAACATACGCTTAAGCTTTTGTATGGACTTTTAAGCTTATCTATACAATGAACAAAACTGCTGACAAACTCCTCTGTGTTCTGTGGCAATGTTAACTGACTGTAGCTGCTTATAAGCACCATGCATCCACGCATTACTTAGCTGAACACTGTAAATATTGTGTAAAATTTTTAGCAATATTTAGATTGTCCAGGTGACCTAGCGCGAATGTTTTTTGCAGTTGCAGTGTTCATCTCCTGCTTCCCCATTAACAACATACGTGAACTACAGAAACTATTTCTTTGCTCTTTAATTCTGATCTACTATGCTGTTCTTCAGAGAGCTCAGATGGCTCAGCCTCTACCTTACGAGTTCTCTGTGCTTCTTGTCTTCAAGCTGGATTCTCTTTTTTACTGTGTGACCTCAGCTGCCTAAGTCCTGATAAAAGGATGGAGAACACGCACTGAAAGTCCAAGCTAACACCTTCTGGGTGAAAGATGAAGAGCAACAAGCAATAGCAACCGAACAGACAGAAAAAAAATGTCAGCTGCCTGGGGGCAGCAAAAACAAGAAATTGCACAACACTTTGAAAACAAATACTACAAATTATGACCTAGGAATCATGGAACCCAACGATACCAGGAACTGCTATAATTTGAGAGCCTTTTCATGAAATCAGCCAACAGTCCTCATTACAGGAGAGACTAAACGCTGCGTTTACACGAGACACTGACTCTGCAGTAGCTTGTTACCACTGCGCAGTAGTGTTGTGTGGCATGAAGCTTGATGCGACGCTACTGCACAGTAGTAACGAGCTACTGCACAGTCAGCATCACCAAAAAGCCGTTCGGTGACACAACTGTGCAGTAACTCTGGTTACTGGGCAGTCACTTAGTACTTGTGTATGCAAGTACTAAATAACTGTGCAGTAACAACTATGCAGTCACTATTTCATGTAGACATATGAAACCAGAAGTAGTAGTCTGGATTGATTAACCAACTATTCTGAGCAGTTCTACATAGTAACTCTTTGTGGATATGTGAATGAAGGAAAGGCATCTCTTTCAGTCAAGGCTTGGTTTCACTACAAAATCAATCTGAGTTATAACTCAGTTGTCCCTGATTCACACATGCAATAGCCCCTCCTTAATTTTGGTACAGTGGTACTTTCAACTTGAGTTGGCTGCTTACCAGTAGTATGGGCTAATGCTGGACTGAGCACAAATGGGCAGCTGTTAAGTACAACCACTGTAGCATGGACACAAACCAATTCAACAGCTCCTCCAATGTTTTCCCACTATTTTCTGCCGTTTAAAAAAAAAATTGCTGGAAGAGATTTAATAGGCCAACCAGCTTACTGCAGTCCAACCAACTATGGGAGATGGTCCCCAAAAGTCTTAGGAGCACACAAGAAAGTGCTGAGTCACTACAGGAACAATAGCTCAGTCACAGTCTCATGTAAGGAGGGCAAATTTTAGAGACGTAACTGAAGTCTATGTAATTACTTAATTTTGCAGAAAGGCATAACCTTGCTACCTTGATGCAGGATGGCTTCTATGGTACCTTGAGATACTTGCCTTGTTGACATGAGTTCTTCATTTCTGTTAAGTACTCACCTGTTATTATCTTTATCAATCTACGAAGTATATTTAGGATTTTCTATACATGTTTTCCTTTTGTTTAGTATCGGAACAGAAAGTTTTCAGTAAGGCTTACCTTTTTGCTTTCCTCCATTTCATGTTCAAACATTGCATTAAAAACTGGCGAGCGTGCTGCAGCAAGGGAATTAAACATTAAATACAATTAAATGCCAAGATTTTCACAATTATGTTTGATAACCAAAAAAAGTTACAATATAAAAGTAGAAAGTACCTGCAAGGACAGATTTGTGGGCTTTGAATTCTTGTCCTCCTACATAAAAACTGCAATCTGTAAATTTTGTTGTTTCCCAGAGATTCCCTAAATCTTCTGCTAGTCGACATTCAGGTACCTTCAAGGTGTTTGTATTGGACTGTCCTGATATATTTACTGAATCTTGGACCACGCTTACCTAACAGAAAATCACAACAAGACAAACTCCTTTAACAAATGAATGCTGATGATCATTAAATTATAGTACCTATGCTACAACTTAGCAAAAGCAAAATATGCTTGGGTTTTGTCCATAACTCACACCCATAAAGCAAAAGTTCAATACTGGGAAAGACTAAATTTCAAAGAGTCTAGTTTTATGAAACAGCATCAGATACACAGAAATAAACCTTTTGAGAATCTTAAAAGAAAAGTTAGCTTTTATTTATGATCCAAGCATTTGTGGTCAGGTAACTGATACAACACAAAAATAAAGAACATGACACCACAAGCAGCATGATAAAAAGATCACGGAGTAAGTAAATCAAAGGCTGATACTCCTGTTGGGAAAACAATGAAACCCCTAATTAAAAATTACTGCCGCTTCAAAGATAAATCAACAGAATTTAAGACCGCTCACTCCTCAAAACCAGAATCCAACATTATAGAGACCCTCCTTACAATGAAGATTCAAAACACATCACTCGTGTGCACTGAAGGAAGACAAGCTAAGTGTGGATGTTTAGGAGGGTTGGATGGAGGTTAGATCGCGTTAAAAATGGCCACCCAATCTAGCTTAGCTTGCCCAGGTGCGGACCTTACACTTAGACCCAGTCTCAGTGATTGGAAATCAACCCAAACCCATAACAGAACAGAAGTTTTGTGCAGATAAAATAGATGTGGATTGATATACACTCAAAATTAAATTCATCTAGGGTAGGCCAGTAAATCAAGCTTCTGTAGAGTTACCTGTGCAGCCCAAGGCTGAGAAAGCCCAGCCCTGTGACTGTGCTTTCTGTATCGGCCCCCCTGACACCGGATTTTTTTTTTTTTTTTAGCAATCTAGCAACGCCGCCCCCCCGCCCCCCCAGAAGCCCCCATCCTGCAAGCTACTGCCAGGGACCAAGAAAGTAAGTTTTGGTGGGGGGAGGGGGGGCCAATCCCTCCCAGACCCCACCTGCTCCCCAGATTTGCCCCCATCCCTCCCATGGACCCCACCTGTTCCGCATCACTCCCACAGATCACACCTACCCTCCATTTCCTCTGATCCCTCTTGCAGATCCCACCTGTACCTGTGCACTTTCCAATCCTCCCCACGAGCCTGCTTGCCCCATCCATCCTGACTTACCTTAGATTGGGTGGCCATTTGCAAGGCAATCTAACCTCTCCCCTCAACCTCCAAGTGTATATAACTTAGGCAGAATTTCATAAAAATAACCCAGTGTCACTTTTGATAGCCAGTTATCCCGAATTTTACCCAAAAGAAGCATGTACAACTTAGTTTTAGTCCCTATCCTTAAATAAGCTAGAAGCAAATAAAACATAGCTCCTTCAGTATTCAGCTTCCCTTAGCTCCACTGAAGAAATCAAATATAGGTGTTTTCCTCTTAAAAAGCAAGATTCCAATGGCTCTTCTATAAAAATGACTTTATAGGTATACCCCAACAGTATCTTGTCTACTCAAACTAATAAAATATATGTTCATAAGTGTTAAAATACAGTATTAACTAAGCCAAGAAAGTTCTAAAGGAGATGCAAATCAAGTGTTTTTTGACATTTCTCCCTGGATCTTGGGGCATTTTGGTATTTGGGAAGGAGAATAAATGAACAATTGAGACTTCCTTGCTGTGATTTTTGAGAATTTCTTTGTAGATAGCACTATTTGGATACTATGATTTTAAATGTTTTTACTTAACGACCAAAAGTTGCAAAAAAGGTACTTTGCATGATATTTAAACAGCAGCTCAGAAAGGTGTTCCTGTTTTGGAAGAGAAGCCTGGAAATTAAAGCTCCCTGAAGCAAAGCAGGCATTCCTAGAAGGATTTTGATCAAGGTTTCCTCTTCCTAGGTTACAAAAAGGTAGGAGTATAACGAATAAGGGAAGATTAAGAAACCCAGTAGTCTGGTTGATGTCCAGAGGCACAGAATTGAGAACAAAGGCAGAAGAGTGAGCTCATGCTCCATGAGTAAGTCTGAGCTGTGCTGTACAAACTTCATATCAGAAGATGAACTTGGATTTAGGACAAGAGGTGGGGTACTAAAATGGAAGTCAAAAGATTCAGTTTTCACTCCCTATTCTATTTCAGACTTCCTGTGTGAATCTGGGGCAACTCACTATCTTTCTTTGTCTTAGCTCCCCCCTGTAAAACAGAGATAAAAGTATCCTTCTGACTCATGGGGGAAGTTTTGAGGATAACTATTATTAATATTTGAGCAGTATCATCTTAAAGGAATAAGAGCCTTACAAGTACTTACAATAGATCAGTCAGGCTCTGTTGCTTGTCACCTCAAAAGCATTGCAGGAAACAGGGAATCTGCTTCCCAGGTACTAGTAGCAGATGGAGGAGGAGCACTGGTAACAGCTGCAAGCCAGAGGTCTAGAAAGCCACTTGCTTTGTGGCAAAGGACTTTTGCCCACTTTCCTAGGTGTATTCATAAGCACAAAATCCCTCTCCTCTTAACCTGAGCACAATCAGGGCAACCTCAGTTCAAGTCTCCAAAAACTGAATGGCTACTATGTATTTCCCCCAACAATTAGAGTTGATTGGGTGCCAAGTACCCATAACACTCCTAAATACAAAAACTTTTAATAGCAAAATGGAAGTGTAGAACCTGTAAAAAAATGTGATCAAAATAATTTAGATGCTATTGCAAATTTAGACCGTATAGTGAACTAAATTATAAATGGTGTTTAACTGCAGCTACTATTAGGGTTTCAAAATACTGAAGAAAGTGAGGCCCTAATTCTTAAGTTTAAACACTTCAGCAGGTATATAAAATGACTCTCAGGAATAATCCAGCAGAAGTCAATGGACTATATTCTTATTTAAAATTAGACATATGCATAAAAAGTTTTTAGCCTGAAGGATTAAAATTCTATTATTATTAAAAACCGCTTCTTAGTGGCATAAACTTTGGCACTTGAAAATAAAATTGGTTCACTGTTAACAATAAAAGGTATTTAGGTTTTCAACATGAACCATTTTTTTAAAATACAACCTTTTTATACAATAAGTTATGATTAAAAAAAAAGCAGGAACTTCCAGTTTGACTTTAAGGTCCAGATTTTAAAATATATTTTGGAGCCAAACCTCTATTGTGGGAGATACTTCGGGACCACAGGGTGGGATTTCTCCGAAGTCTTGGGGTATGCTTACACTGCAAACCATAGTATATTGCAGAGAAAGCCAATATAGGCTAGTTCAGATACTGAAAGTAGTCCAGCAGTCAGAGTGCTGTGTGGGCTAATTTACCTGCTAAGGGTATAACCAACTACTGATTTATCACTACCAAGTGTGGGAGGCAACCTTAAAGAAGTACTCAGGTAACCACCTGCCTCAGTTTTCAGCAAATAAATGAATCATGTGAAATGATGTTGCAGCTAGACTGTTTCCAATACTTGATCAAACTTCAGTGTCTTCGGTGCAGATAATTCCTTAGAGGCAGCACTGACTTTAAATGTGAATCCTGATGGAGCTACATGACCTGGTACAACTGACTTTGGCAAGTTCAAATATTAAATGGCAAATCATAACAGGGGCTCTTTATCAGGTTCTTGGGTAAGAATCTGTGGTGTTCTTACACTAAGAATGTTAATGAGATGCTAGACTTGTGCCTCAACACAGACTAGCTGAGAAGTGTGAAGCTTTTCAGTAGAAAAAGCATTACTACAATATCATTTAAAATTCTACTAGCAATTAGGAAACAAACACATGACATTCACTTTAGTCACTTAAGAGTACCAACCAGAAATAATCTGAAATGAGTAAATACATTTAAATAGAAAGTTCATTAAAACACCGATTTTTAGTCACCCAACTTCTTGTTGGAGTGGGTTGATTTGGCAAGATTAAATAAACCCTCCAGTCTCTTTAACTGAAACCATAAGCATTAACTGTAACAACATCCTCCTGACCTGACCACAAGAATATTTACATCAGAAGCTGTGTATTTTGTGTTTTGTATTATTTCAAATAAAGATTGAATAATTCCCTCTCCAACCAACAGAGCATGACTCTCCTCAATGAGGAGAGCAGGATCCTTATTGAGCAAGACTTTCTAAAAAACTCTGTTTAATGTGTCTCTTAAGGTTTATTAAATGGTGTACTTGTATCATCATAATTTAAAAGGAATTCCTGAATTTGGTTAGGATCTCTCTCCAAGTTTGTCTATAAGAAGGATGCAAAAAACCCTGAATTCTATAAATCAAGGTTCAGTTAGAGCTGAAAATGACTGTACTTTTTCTGGTATAGTTCTCTGTCAAAGTACCTCAAAACAGTAAGATTTTTTTTCCCCCCACAAAGCAGCCTAACAGCTATAAGAGCATAACAGAAAAAGGAATTTAATTAGGATTTCAATCTTAACTTCTGGATTGACCCAATCAAAGATGATAAAAATTCTAACAAGTTTACTTGAATACAAGTAAATGTGATTCCTTTGGTATTGAAAGGCAGAGCATCTTATATAAGCCAATTATATTTTAAAAATAGAGAACTTTACAGATGGCTTCAATTATATCAAGCATAAGTTTTACAATTAAATAATGTCAGAATTTATTTCATAAGTACAAATATTTCTGAATAGATCAGTCTCCTATTATAATTTTATGTACATTTCATCTTTAAAATTATGTAGTACAACCTACTTTCATATTCAAATTCTATTTGGCAAAACTAGTTTAATCTACAGTACCAACTATTCAAAACTTTGTAAGTTTTAAGAAGTCTTCATGGGGATCTTTACAAAACCACTAGACATTTGTTACATCTGCTTTTATCAGGCAAATAATTGTATTCATAACAAATTCATCATGCAGCTAATTTAACTTGTCTAAGTGAAAATAAGATGCACTATATTTGCACCATCTAGTCTCAAGGGCCACATTTCAATTATTTTTCCTACACAGCATAATGACATATAATTAAGTTGTAATCTTGCCAAGACAATTTTACACATTTCCTGTAAATACACAGATCAAAGCAAACTTATTAGCAGTTAAAGCATCTATCATCCTCCTAAGCCATTAATCAGTCCATGGCAGCAGTGATAACCTACCAATGTATATTTAAACACACACTGTACTTAGATCACAACCTTCTCTGTTTTCATTTTTAAAAAGTCATAAGCTGTCTTCATGGATTTTAGTAAGACAATGTAGGTTACTGGAATAATGTATTATGATTTACATTTCATTTCCTCATATATTCCTCCAAAATTCTAAAGTTTACTCCATGAGTTAAGTATGAGAGTATTTAACCAGCACTGCATCTGTTCAGATAGCAATGCTGTAGGGTAGTAAGTTATGCAGTTATATGCAATTTCATTTTAAAGCTCATGTCAGAAGGGTATAACTACAGAAATTTGCATTTAAAGTCTAAATATACAGGGCTGATTCTCAGTGTCATGCTAAGAACCGAGAAAGGCTTAAAGAGTCAGTCCCAGCAAAGTACTCATAATGTATATATATAAATGCCTTTTAATAGCATTTTGAAAAGTAAATTTAATAATGAAACAGCATATCAAGCAAATGATCTAAATTTATAAAATGTTTATCTAAAGAAATTATAATCCTATTAAAGAAATTAATTTTAAATTCTCTCAAATGGTAAGTCCTCAAGTCTTAAAAAGCCTCCAGCAGGGGAAAAAAAGCCTGTTAGGGTAAAGAACTTCTGTCAGGTTTTAAATTAAGTTTTAAAAGAGCACTTTTATCTTGGTTTACCTGCAGATGGCCTGTTGAGTAAGAACCGTAGTTCAAGGCCGAAGAGCAAAGATTCTGAAATACACCTAGATTCTTATACTCTTGCCTGCTTTGATTTAAAACAACCTGACATAGGGCCATTTAAAATAATATTCTAATAGGTACTACTTTAATTAATATTCATATACCTATTATATCTCTTATTTAAGCTAGATCTAGTTTTAGGACAAGGTATAACTGGCATAAGACCGCTAAATGTACTCCCAGCAACCTGTAGCTTACTACTTTTAACCTGCTGTTCTGGAACTTCCTAATATAATTCTCATTTCCAACATTCTCTCTGACATTTCCTTTGTTTTTTCTTCTCTTACCCAAACTTGGGCCAAGCAAATGCTATACCATATTGCCATTAAGCACCTTAGGGTGTACTATAGTCTACAATAGATGTCTATTTTAAAATCCTGTCCTCACAAGTGAAAGACACGGAAAAATTGTATCACTGCTGAGATATTACACCAGGTATTCACCAAAGAATTGTTGTCCATTTTAGTCAAGGAATGTGGTTACTGGGTAAGAGATACATGTCATTAATGCAGTAGTGTTTCTTCCCTGGGATATAGCTTTCATTACAGAAAAAACTAAGTTCTACATGTGTGCCTAATCTAGAGGAAGATGGAAAAGCAATCTTATGCCTCCGAACAGATGTCTTTAAAGAAAAAGGCAACCTCAATATAAGTGTGTTTCTGTGTATGGCATGCATCAACCATTTCTTTGTGCAGAGGTTCTGGAGCTCATTCTGATAGGTTCACTGTAGTAAATCTGTGTCTACATATCAAAGAATGAAGCATCATATCATACACACACATGCACATTTTAAACTTTCTAGTTTACCATATTCATAGATTTTTTTGGAAACTGTAAAGTCACTGAATTTTCTGATTATTCGTTATATTTTAAAAACTTTAGAATCTTATTTACTTAAAAACCTCACACTCACCTCACAAAATAATGTAAGCTTGTCATCTGGTAAAAGACCATTAGCTTCATCAAGTAAAAAATCTCTTCGGATAAATTTTTTAAAACCCCAATCCTTGCCTTGCACAAATCGATATGCTCTTTGGCTTTCTGGTTAAAGACAGAAGACAAATAGGATTGTTACATCTAAATAAAATATTTTCTTAAATAAAAGACTTTAACGAGTGGTAAAACAAGGTAGAAAAATCAATACTGAGAACACTTGAGTGTTAATGTAACTGTAAATCAATTTAATATAGTTAGACCATGCATTTTATCATGTGTCAGGAAAATCCATCACTGAGCATCATTCTGTATTTATTTCAATAATATTTTACTTTACAAGATTATCTGGTCATTTCATGGAAGATTATTCTAGAATCTTATTTGTACTATCGTGTTGTATTGTATTCCATTGTGTTCCATTTATTGATTGTATATTTATTCTCTTGAACTCCTCCTACTTAATTGGTTTAGACATTAGAAGACTGGTTGAGAATTATTAAACAGATCTCTGTCTAAAATTGCCAAACCAAAAGCTCTCTCAGAAAAAGCTCTGGTCAAGTAGGGAGGACCAGATGGACTACACCTGAGAGTGCTGAAGGAATTGGCTGGAGTCATTGTGGGACCGTTGGCGAAGGTCTCTGAAGACTCATGGTGCTTGGGAGAGGTCCCAGATAACTGGAAAAGGGCCAATATGGTGCCAATCTTTAAGAAGGGAAGGAGGGAGATCTGGGAAACTATGGGCCAGTCAGTTTGACCTCGATCCGGGTAACATTTTGGAAAAAATTATCAACAAGTCCATGTGTGAGAGAGAGCAGAAGCCATGATGCTGAAGTATAGCCAACGTGGTTTCATTGCGGGCAGGTCATGTCTGACCAACCTTGTCTCCTTCTATGATGAAGTAACGAACCACTTAGATGTGGGAGACACGGTTGATGTCATATACTTGGATTTCAAAAAGGCCTTCAATATGTTTTCCCATGACACTCTTATCGGGAAAAAAAACTGGTGGATTGTGGGCTGGCAGAGTCCACGGTCAGGTGGGTGGGGAACTGGCTAAGGGGTGGAATGCAGAGAGTGTTAGTGGATGGGTCTGTATCACCTTGGCAGGAGGTGGCCAGCGGTGTCCTGGAGGGTTCAGCCCCATGCTGTTCAACATCTGAACCAACCATTTAGATGAGGATGTCAAAAGCACACTGGCTAAGTTTGCAGAGGATACTAAGTTATGGGGAAAAGTGTTCATGCTAGGGGATAGGATGCAGATCCAAGCAGACCTGGACAAGCTGGAAAGGTGGGCGAAGCAGAACTGGATTCAGTCCAATAAGGATAAATGCGAGTGTTTTATCTGGGGAGAAGTAACTGGCAACATGAATATAGGTTAGGAGGAGACGTCCTGGCCAACATGATGAAAAGGACTTTGGGGATATGGTTGATCACACAATGAACATGAGTCGCCAGTGAGACGCTGTAGTCAGAGCTAACAGCATACTGGGATGCATTAGCCAATGCATCGCAAAGAGGGCTAATGAAGTGATGTCTCCTCTCTACTGGTGATGTCTCTTCCTCTGGCTGGTGAGACCCCAGCTGGAGTCCTGTGTCCAGTTCTGGGTGCTGCACTTCAACAAGGATGTGGAGAATCTTGAAGGGTCCAGAGAAGGGCCACATGAATTATTAAGGGCCTGCAGGACAAACCTTATGAGGAGAGAGTAAGGGATCTGGGACTGCTCAGCTTGGGGAAGAAAAGACTGAGCAGGGACTTGGTGGCTGTCTAACAGGGGTGGGCAATTATTTCGGGCAGAGAGCCGCTTACCGAGTTTTGGCAAGCTGCTGAGGGCCACACAGGTAGCCCCGCCCCTTGACCGGTGCCCCGCCCCTGGTAGCCATCTTGTGACCAGATGTCCTGCCCCCTAACTCCTGACCTTTGCCACCAGAAGTCCTTCCTCTTGCCCCTGAAAGTACTCCTTTCAGCAAGGGGTTTTGCCATCTTGGAACCAGAAAAATATCAAATTATATTCTAAAAAGTGAACATCTAAAATATTAATGTAATTAAAGACATTTTTTTTCTTGATTTACATGTGTTTATGTAGTGTACATAGAGGTGACGGCACAATAGCTTAAAATGAAGTCTTACTCTTGTATATTGTGGGGGGTGGGTATAGGTTTGTGGGGGCTGTGGGTGTGTATGTGGAGTGAGGGAGCATGTGGCGGCGTGTGGGGGGTATGGGGACTGTGGGGAGCTGTGTCAGGGGAGGGTGACTGGGGTTTGTCGCAGTGTGGGGGGGTGGATGCATGTGTATGGTGGGGAGTGGGGCTCACCCTATAGACACACACAATCTGGCCCCCAGCATGCATGCACACACACATGCACTCTGCATGTAGAGGTGTGTGTGGATATGTGGGGTGTGGATGGGCATGGGGTGTGTGGGGGGAGGAGGGTAGCTGAGGTTTGTGTATGGCAGTGCAAGGGGGTGTCTGGGCCCATGTGTATGGTGGGGTGTGCATGTGGGACTCACCCTATGAACACACACACACACACACACACACACACACACACACACACAGTGCCCCTGAGCCTGTGCATGCACACACAGTGCCCCCGAGCCGACGCACACACGCATGCACACAGTGCCCCCAAGCCTGCGCATGCACGTTAATTTAGTAAATTGGGGGGAGGGGGGGGGCCCTGGGCTGCATAGAATGGCCTGGTGGGCCGGATTTTGCCCGTCCCTGATCTAGAAGTATGTAAGGGGTGAATATTGAGAGCTGGGAGAAAAAACTGTTCACTAGGGCACCCTAGGGGAGGACAAGGAGCAATGGCCATAAACTGTTAGAGGATGGTTTCAGGTTGGATGCAAGGAAAAACCTCTTTATAGTAAGGGTGACCAGAATCTGGAATAGACTTCCCAAGGAGGTGGTACAGTCTCTAACCTTGGAGGTCTTCAAGAGAAGACTGGATAGACACCTTGCTGGGATCATTTGATCTCAGCAGTATTCCTGCCCAGAACAGGGGGATTGGACAGCCCTTAATTTCTATGATTCTATGAAAAGGACTGTTTTATCTTAAGAATTTCTCACCTCAAAAATTTCTTGAAAAAAAGGTTTGGAGATTTGACAATGACATTTTTTTATTCCTTAAAGAGATTCTTTTTTGGGATAAAATAAACAACCGTTAAAAAAGTTTGCAATTTAAATAGAACTTTTCAATCACTCCAATGTAATCTCCTCTCCCCTTAATTTCTGGTTTTCAGATTTTCATAGATTTCTAGGGTTGGAAGGGACCTATTAGATCACTGAGTCCAACCCCCTGCTCTGGGCAAGAAAGAGTGCTGGGGTCCAGTAACCCCAGCCAGGTGCCTGCCTAATCTCCTTTTGAACACCTCCAAGGTAGGGGGAAAGCACCACCGCCCTTAGAAGCCCATTCCATATTTTGGCAACCCTCACCATAAAGTTCTGGATGTCCAATCTAAATCTACTCTCCTTCTGTTTATGACCGTTGTTTCTAGTAACCCCGAGGGGCACCTTGGTAAACAGAGTATCCCCTATTCCCTGCTGACCCTCCCCTTGATGAATTTGTAGACAGCCACGAGGTCACCTCTCAGCCTTCTCTTGCGGAGGCTGGAGAGATTCAGGTCCCTCACTCTGTCTTCTTAGGATCTTACCCGCAAGCCCTCAACCATATGAGTGGCCCTCCTCTGAACCCTTTCCAAGTTATCCACATCCCTCTTGAAGTGTGGAGCTCAAAACTGGATTCAGTACTCCACCTGCGGCCTCACCCATGCCACATAGAGGGGAAGTATCACCTCCCTAGACCTGATTCTGATGCACCTACTAATGGAGGACAGAGTGCGGTTAGATTACCTCGTCACATTGGCAACTCATGTTCATTTTTGTGTCGACTATGACTCAGAGATCCCTTTCCACTGCTGTGTTACTTAGAATGCTGCTTCCCAGTCTGTAGGCGTGTTGGTGATTCTCTCTCCCCAGGTGCAGCACTTTGCACTTTTCTTTGTTAAATTGCATCCTATTCTGATCTGCCTACTTCCCCAGTCTATCTAAATCTGCCTGAATTTGCTCCCTACCCTCTAGTGTGTTTACGATACCCCATAGTTTGGCGTTGTCTGCTAATGTGGACAGAGTGCTTTCTACATCCTCATCCAAATCACTGATGAAGATATTGAACAGTACTGGTCCAAGGACAGAGCCTTGGGGGACCCCACTGCCCACATCTCTCCAAGTAGAAACCGACCCATCCACCACCCCCTTCTGCGTGCATCCCATAAGCCAGTTTTCCACCCACTAGACTGTGAAAAATTCCATGTCACAGCTACTTAGTTTACTTGTAAGAAATGGGTGCAACACTGTGTCAAAAGCCTTTTTAAAATCCAAATAAATAACATCTACCTCTCTTCCTGCACTTTGTGACCTGGTCATAAAGAGACCAGGTTAGTCAGGCAGGATCTGCCTGCTGTAAATCCATGCTGGTTGCCCCTTAATATTGCCTGCTGGCCCCCCACAAATGCGATCCTTTATGATTTTTTCTAAGGTCTTGCCAAGAATAGAGGTGCGACTAACCGGCCTATAATTACCCAGGTCCTCCTTCCTCCTCTTCTTGAAAATAGGGACCACATTGGCCCGTTTCCAGTCTTTCGGGATGAAACCTGTCATCCCATTTGCAGAAAAACATGAATTCTATTTTTGAAGTGTAATAGATCTTTGAGGTAACAGCTGTTGCTCAAAGGCTGACCTCTAGTAGAAATTTCAGAAAGCTTCAAATGATAATTTTATTAAATCTTAAATATGGTGTCATAAATTCCTGTTTCTAGGCTCACAGGCTCCCAAACTTCACTGGATTGCATACAACCTTCTTAAAGTCTCATGAAATGAACTGAGAGAATAATCAAGCTTGAATATCACAGTTTGGGAACCTCTGCATATATCAAGATTCTAATTCTGTAATTAGAAAATGTGATTATTAATCTGCTTTACCATATCCTCTGGCTTAATAAAAGGTCATTACCTTCAGTTTTATTACAAACAGCTGATGTATAGCAAGGAAAGCTTTATCTAGTTTGATCCCCTATATATCTTTCACAGTTCCATCTTAATTG